AGCAGACTTTAATAAGGTCCTTGAAATTTGTGTATACTTCAGAAAAATAATTGTTAAATGTAATTTAATCTGTTTAAGCTCTATTTCCTTTATGAAATGTTTATCTCCTGCAAACTTTATTTGTCGAATATAGAACACATATATTGAATAAAATCATGCAATTGAAGATTTAAAGTCCAAAATATCAAGGATATTCTTATAAAGGAACACTTCTAGATGAATATCTACTTTGGCCTATAGTGCTGACATTGCTTTCAGTGTTAAGAAAAAGCTTATCTATATCCCGATTCCGATCTCTAACTTTAGACTGCATGCATGTATTTTTGTTTCTCGAGTATCTCTTCAGTTCTACTTATGCATAGATTTTCCCAAGATAAACTGCGTCTATTCTGCAGTATATCTCCCGCACGGGGCCATAAGTACCACTGAGACAAATCCCCAACTAAATATTTAGAAATTTCCTTAAAAGTAAACTTAAGTTAATTAAGTGTATCTTTAGTTTGTACAAAATTAAGACATGCAAATTTTGTTTCATTTTCTCTAAATCAATATCTCTCCAGGCAGACACAGTTTGAGTGGAAATAGGTTTTTCCATTTTTTTCAGGTTCTTTGCGAATTTCGATTATTGGACAGGGGTACCCTTTATAAAACTTGTTTTATGTCATTCCTTAGATCAAAATCTATCAATATGTCATAATTTTATGTACGGTCAGGTCTGCCCTGAAGGACTCTAAGCCAAAATTCACGTAAAAAATTTAGAAAATTTAGACAAATATACGATAGAAAGCAACTGACGAATTTTGATTTTTAAATGTGATTTTTTCTGAAAAGTTGTTTTCTCCTATAGGCCAAATCTTTTGTTATAAAGAATACATCCATATTTTATGAATTTCAAAATATCAGGGATTTGTTACACTGTATGTAAAAAAACCCTCGATCTGAATTATTTTTTTTCTTTTTTGTTGAATATTAAATTTCTAAGTAGGTTTGTCCTGGACTAGTACATATAAAATTGTGTATATAGATTGTATACCGGTAAGTCCATCTGCTTAAAGACTTTAAAAAAATAACAACATCTCACTGAAACCACCGTATTTAAATTTGTTCATCAAAGAAAAGTCTATCTGAAAATATTTCAAGGTTTTATTTCTTAGTATCTTGCCATATTTCAGGTGATTTTACACCGATGTATATATAGGTCTAACGTAGAATTTTGACCAGAATAAAAATATGACCAGGGATCATTTTTCAACATTGAATATTGAGATCAAAAGTGTTGAATTTAGACCCTAAGCCCTTGAAATTTGAGTGAGGTTGTGAAATTTTGATAATGATTGATTGATTCTATACTGTTTAAAGTCCCTCTCCAGAATATTTCACTGATATGGAGACGTCACCATCGCCGGTGAATGGCTGCGAATTTAGGCCTATGCTCGGCACTCAGGGCCTTTGAGCAGGGAGGGATCTTTATCGTGTCACACCTGCTGTGACACGGGGCCTCGGTTTATACGGTCTCATCCGAAGGACCGCCCCATTTAGTCGCCTTTTACGACAAGCAAGGGGGTACTGAGGACCTATTCCAACCCGTATCCCCACGGGACAAAATTTTAATAATGAAATTATTTAATTTTGATAATGAAATTATTTAATTTTGATAATGAAATTATTTAATTTTGATAATGAAATTATTTAATTTTGATAATGAAATTATTTAATTTTGATAATGAAATTATTTAATTTTGATAATGAAATTATTTATTAATTCAACAGCATTTAATTAACATACCGTATAAGCAGAAATTTAAGCAGAGGATTTAATTTTGGCATTATTAGCGAGGGTTTCAAGATCGCTAAAATTGAATATCGCTAAAAATTAATTGCGCTTTATTTGCAATAGCTTCTTAACATAACTTTTTAAAATCGCTAAAATTACATCTCGCTAAAAATAAAATACCCATTTTTAAGGACAAATCGCTAAATTTGCGTCTCGCTAAAATTTCCACTTATACGGTATATTCATTTTATGAATTGATGTATTATTTTTCAGAATGCCACTCCTTCTGCAGGTTTAAATATTACTTGGCGCACAAGTAGACTTCACTAAGATACACAATTCTTTGTATCAGTTTTTGATTTGAATGACCGGTGTTGCCATGGTTATTAAAAAAAAAGAAATTTCTATGAAATACTTTTAAAAATCTACTTCTTCTACAGTTTTGGTCTGATTTCAGTATAATTTGGCACACGAGTAGACTACAGTAAAATACATATTTTTCGGTGTTTAATTTCAGTGTACGGTGTTGCCATTGATACTAAAAATAGAAAAGGCAATATATAGTTATCGCTAAATATGGGCTCTTATTTGACGTTAAAATCATAACATAGTTAAAACTGTGATAGTGAAATTGCTGCATGTTATAAAAGTAGCACTTTTTTTTTATTCTAACCATACATGAAGGTCACATAGGACTTTTTCGCGAATTTTCTCAAATCTGGTAGAATTTTGCTTTTCACTTCGGAAAACATAGACCACAAGTTTGCCTATCTGAGATTTTTACACACAAGATGCTCCCGATACTAGTGTAATAAACATATAATTCTGGTAGATTGGCGAGCTTGTTGATCTATGTTTTCTGAAAGAAAATGTGCTGTAAAATTGATTGAAATTTGCATCAAAATGAGAAAATTTGGAAATTGACATATTGGCTGACCTTCCTGTGACCTCTGTATATTAAGACGGATCGGAAGTGTTCAAAAAAGGGACGTTTACGGAATAGGTGGAGCAGTGAGCAGTGATAAAATTTGGCGTAGACATCGGATAAACACCTACAGAGACCAATGCATTTTGTAAACAATCGGGAAAACATAATAAAAGAAGCCGTATATTAGTATTTAAGTGGCATTTAATATTTTTGTACTAAAGGAACAGTTTACTGGATGACATGCTTGAAGGAAGACCATCATTCCGATATGCAGCGCTGTAAAAAATGTCGTAACGTAACTTTACCTTATTTCTGTAAATAAAATCGTTTTTACGCGGATAAATGTTAGAGGATTGCAAGATATGAGACAGGCATTGTTAAATATCATTTTACGTATGAAACCTGAACATTTTGTGTAAATATTTATGACTGGTTAGGCGACATATACGAAATGTATTGAGTTAAACGGTGAGTATATTGAGAAAAGTTACATGTACTCGTATAATGCTTTTGACGTCGGGTAACGTCAAGCATTTTCATTTTAGTGCTCCGGGTATGATTATTAGTAATAGTTACTTCAAATGATAAGTTGATTTGATATCCCGGTCAGTTTAAACTCGAAATACAACGCAGTCTGACTCATGTTTCATATCGGGATATATTAAATAGGAAAAACAAAACAGGGTAACTCATCCATGAACCTTTTCCATGAAGTAAAATTAAATTCAGTGTATCCATTCAAAGTAGAGAGTTCGATGAACCAATTTCTTTCATCCTATTAATTTACATGAACAAAAAAGGAAAATAGAAATACCGTACATTATAAAGTACAAAATGCAGAAGATATGTTGTCAAAAACTGTGGCTCTGACAATTGATGGAATTTTCATAAAACTTTTTTAAACCAATAGTTAAAGCTAATATCTTGAGTATAAATAAGATCCCGCCTCCTTTTTCAACTCAAAAATGAGTTGCATTGAATGGTGTATTTAAAACTGATCTTCCTATGCATTTGGTTTTATACTGAGACATCTTCTGGTGAGTATCAATCTTTGTACAAATAAAAACAAGTTAAAAATTTTCCAAAGGCAACATTCTAAATTATTATAGTATTTCTCATTACTTTCTTTGTCCATACGAATTAGTATGATTAATATAAATCTTCAATAATGATACAACTATCTTACAGAGGGTTATGTACAATATTGCGTTAGAAAAATGAAAAGGAGAAAAATATCTTGGAGGAAAATTAGAATCTTAAACCTCATTATTGTTGAAAATCAATTACTCGTAAATTAATTTTTGTCATATTTTCTTTACTGAATTAAAAATAATAATAATAAAAAAAATGATGGAAATAGTTTTACATAACAACAACAACAAAAAAAAAAAGAAAAAAAAAAGGAAATCTGTATTTTACCTCATTTCAAATAGATGGAATTTAATTTTCTGCGTCGTTTGCCTTGTAGACGTCTCCATATGAGTGAAAAAATTCTCAAGAGGGACGTTAAACAATATACAATCAATCAATCAATCATTTGTCTTGTTATATTTTTTTTTTACTAGATCGTGTCTGCATTACAGTAAGCTATCTTTGTTGATGATAATTTTGCTTTAATTCTGTATATTATTATTTTATTTCTCAATGTATCTTTGAGCTTGACAAATGTTATCTTTAAAAATCATGGTAGGATAAAAAAGAAATTTATATTTATAAAAAATGCTGTCAGAACGCTATTTCTCTAATCTGATTTCTTAATTTCATTGAACGGAAAAGTTAGTCTTTGTTTGAACGGGGAAATCAACCTTTTCTTGACGGTCTGCAATTAACTTTCGATATTGCACCATTTAGTTAATTCAGTGCTCAAAGTACTTTTAGTCTCCATTACATGTAAAAAGATGTCCTTCCTAAATCTGTATGATCTGACAAAATTGCTCTTTGAATAAAAAAAATCACTACAAAGGCATCACGGATTACAAACCGGGGGGGGGGGGGGGCTATTTCTCCAATCTGATTTCTTAATTTTTAAAAATCAAAAATAGACATTATATAGGCATTAAAGATTGGGATTTACTTTTTTTGTTGGTGTGGCCCCCCACTTTTAAAAAGCCCCCCCCCCCACCACACTTTTAATTTGCTTCCGACACCCAGGCATTAAGAAGTCTGAAATTATGTTTAACTATTTTGTACTAAATATAAAGTTTTTGTAAACCTTGCTCTAAATAAAAATTTAGAGGAAGTGTAAGGAAAGCATGAAATCATAATCTACTTTCTTTTCTGCTTTAGGAATACGTATCTACAATTCATAGAATAGCTGAATGAGTGATATGGAAAATGATGTCCAATTAGATGATCTGCAAGGTTATTTTTATACCTTTGGCCAATACATTCTTGGATATGATTTAAAGTATATTTGTTATATTCTGTATTATATTATATTATATATGCATATATTATATATAGTTTTTTTTAATATAGATTTTTTGCATTGACGAAAATTTTCGTTGTTTAAGATGTCTGTGAAGCAATCAGTTGGTCTTATTTCAAAGGTTAGTAATTTTACTTAGCATCTTTTAGTAAAAATTTTATTATTTGTTGTGTACGTATTCACTTTTGTGCTTAAAAGAAAAAAGATTTATCTCCAAAAACTTTAAAATTATCTACGAAATTTAATATAGTTTAAATATTGCGAAATTGAAACCTTTATTTAATTACCTTACATTTTGCTTTTGTTTAATTTTCAAGCCTGATGTTGAGAAAGTATGGATAGAAATCAAAGAGAAAGTTAGATCCTCCCCTTCCATGGTATTTTCTGTCATTGGGGATTCTGATAGTTTTGTACCCAGACCGTGGGCCAAGTCGGTGTTCCAGACAGCATTGATAGAAGCAGCTAAAAGTGGAGGGGGTATATACTATATATATGTAAACATAAGGGGAGGGGTTATATACTATATATACGTAAATATATGTGGAGGAGGTATGTACTATATATATATGTAAACATAAGTTGAGGGGGTCTATATTATATATATGTAAACATCTTTTGGTACTTTCTCTACTGGTATAAAACAAACAAAATTGATATCATATTTTAGGGGATATATAGAGTATGTAAATATAACTGGAGGGGTATATACTATATATATGTAAACTTCCTATTTATATATAAAACATATACTATATATATATATAAGTTAAAAAAGATACATGCAATGTTATACTATATATATGTCAGTAAAACCATGCAATGTTTATACTTATATATGTAAACAGTTAATACCATATATATGCAATGTTTGACTATATATATGTCTAAAAGTGGTATTTACTATATATAGCTAAAAGTGCAATATTTGACTTTTTGTCCTGTGAAAACATGCAATGTATACTCTCTCTCTCTCTCTCTCTCTCTCTCTCTCTCTCTCTCTCTCTCTCTCTCTCTCTATATATATATATATATATGTAAACATCTTCTAAAAGTGGAGGGGATATTTACTATATATATGTAAACATACGTGGAGGGGGTATATACTATATATATGTAAACAAAAGTGGAGGGGGTATATACTATATATATGTAAACATAAGTGGAGGGGGTATATACTATTTAAATGTAAACATAAGTGGAGGGGGTATATACTATATATATATTTAAACATCTTTTGATACTTTCTCCTCGGGTATAACACAAATAAAATTAATATCATTTTTACAGGGTATGTCAACGGTGACGGTTTGCGACTTCCTAATTAAAACATTACTAATTAAATAAAGTTAAAAAAAGATACATGTTATTTTTGACTTTTTGTCAGTAAAAACATGCAATGTTTGACTTTTTTTAAAGACACGTGGATCCTTTATCGTGGCTATGACTACGGAGTGTCCTCCATTGTACGCAGTGCGTACCGGAAGTATGGCGATATGGAGTTTCGCGCCAAAAGTCACGATGTTCATATACAGGACCCCGAGAGACGTGTGAAGCTGATAAGTATGGCAGGGAAAACTGCATCTCGTAAAACACATCCAAAGAAAAACAAGGCTAGGTTTATTTCTGATCAACCTTTCCTATCTAGCTGAATCGTCGTGTAGACGAAAAAACATTTTTTCATAGTCTTCAAATTTTGAAACAACTTTTTAACTTCCTAAGAGACTTTAGCATTTCAAATCTAAAATGAACAGTCCAGATATACTTGTGATCTAAGAATAACTTATCATGTTTAGATTTTCATTTATTAATAAAGATCACTTCTGAGAAGCATAAAACAGAGAATTCAGGAGAAATATGTAAGGATTCAGAACTCATCAAAACTTAAACTGTATCAGTTTTTTTTTTTTAAATATGATTTTAAACGTCGTCGATAAACTTGTAGCAAAGAAAAGAACAGAGGTATTAATTATTAGTAGGTTATGATTATGTGCGCATGATATTGCCAGTTGAAAGAAAACGGGAGTAATTTGTCTGTACTCATAGATTAAAGATTTTGTAATATTTGCAACACAGGAGAGATAAACTTTAGATGAATTTTGCATTCTAATCAGCTGCCAAAAATGAAAAGGTAATTTTTAAAAAGAATTGGACGATTTTTTTCCAAGGAACAATATCAAACATATTTTATAATAAAGAAAGTTAAGCTTTGCCTTAATAACCAGAGTCCAAAATACTGAAAATAAAGTCAGTAATTAAAATGTCATATGTCTACAAATAATTGTAAATAATTGTATGATGTATGCATATCCTCAAATTGTAGAATATTGTACGTATAAATGAACAATATAGTTCACAAATAAACAATATATACACTTTTATGTCGCGCATCCGCCAATTTGTGTAATTGTGTAAGCCAATTATTATTTGTAATTAAATGATAATCTAAAATTTTCATATATTGATATTGAAAATTTTAGATGTACCAGATTGGAGATGTTAAATTAGAAGATTTAGAGGAGGTAAAAGATACGTTCAATAGTTTTATTTTAATCACAAACAATTAAGGCATTAGAAAATGAAATAAGTAATAGTAAAAATAGATGCATCAAAATTTTTTAAATGTTAAACATATTTCTGTTTACTTTACTAGTGCTTAAACTGCTTACCAAAGAAAATGTAAAAATAAACAAATTATAAAATAACAAACTCTCCTTCTGATTTTTATCGCCTGAGTGGATTTATGAGCTTTTAATACTTTTATTGATAGATCATCACAGAACCCATAGAAGCAGAATGTAACATTGAAACTACAGATAGAACATCTTACTTACTCGATTTTGAGGAATATGTTTCAAAGCAAGAAGTTCCTTTTCTCAGTCAAACAATTGACCTGAGTAAACTACTTTAGTTCTTATTTGAATGCATTAAAATCATTCATATAACTGTACAAGTATAAAACGTGTATTGACTTGACAAAATTGTTTTAATGGTTCTTTGGTGACGTAAGGTAAACGTCCTAATCAGTGAATTGAAGTAAATATTCCTACAGCATATCCTTTGACATTTTTTTTATTTAGAACTGCCTATCCCGATTGTAATCCTGGCTCTTGAAGGCGACATACATACGATAGAACACATAGCCGGGGCTCTGGACAGGAAGATACCAGTCATCATAATTAAGGGATCTGGAAAAGCAGCAGATCTCATCTTGGATTACATGGAAAAGTTTGTATTGTTCTTATGAAAGCCTGGAGATGCTATTTTCTTAAAAAAAAAACCCATTAAATTCAACATTATTTGAAGATGTCACTAAAAATATCCCCGAGTTAATTGTCTTCATTTGTTTCTTTCTTGTAGCAAGGAACTTCTTAGGAAGAAAGCCAGTGTTCTGTTTGGGATCCAATTTGATGAGGAGACTTTCCAGTCACTATCCAGACATTTAGAAGACATTGTGAAGGCGTCTGATTTGGTGGGGTTTTAGATATTCTTTTAAGATTATATTAGGTTAAAAAAATATCATAGAACACATCCATGAAGTAGAATAACTTGACACCACTTGGAAATAAATTGTCCAAAGGGTATAGAAGGCAGTGCAGCTGGCAGCTGAGGTGGAATTGTTGTAAGGCTAGGGTAGGAATAGAATAAGTGCACCGGCGGTAGTAGTATTTGGGGAATTAATTTGAGAGTCAGGAGGTATTATATCTTATTAGAGAGAATTGTTTTCTTTATTATATATACAGAATATCGTTGTCACATTTGGATATTGAAAAGTAGCATCTGGAAAAGCCTTTGGTATTTTAATTGTATTCTAATTATATATTCAATATCATTGTTCTCAGAAAGAGTTAAGCAAAACAATTTATTGTCCAATCATTTTACTCAGAGTACAAGGGAAATCAGATACCACTTATAAAGAAACCTGTTGTTCAGATAAACACGTTACAATCTATTAACTTTTTTGTGCAGGTTGATGTTTTTGATGTTAACGCTGACGATCCTTTGATGCTGTCTAACATCGTGGGTGAAGCAGTCGTAAGCTGTTGGGCAACAGAGAAAATTCTCAGAAACAAAAATACAGGTTCTGTATATTATGTGTGTTTCTGGCGGGTGTTTAGTTCAAAGTAGAACTTCCGGGGTATTACATGAAAAATTGACAGAAATCTTCTTTTTTTTCAAACAAGAAGTTCCATTTCCTTTCGTAACAGATTATTTTTATACTGTTCAGCGAGGCCAAATCTAATTCGAGTGCGCATCTTTTAAATTCCCTGCAGTCATATATGCGACAGTACACCTTTGCCAAATATTGTAATTTTCATACAAAAAGTTAACATTATCTGTAACTCCTACTGGTCTGAAAATTTTGTTTTATGACAAATAGTAAGCAAAAACGCTGAAAAGTAACGATGTCAAATTTTAACGATTTTGTAAGCGATGCATGACGCCGAAGAATGCCACATGACTCACCTATATGTGTAGACGTCCATGAATATCATACAAAAACTGATGCCAGAACATCTAAAGAAAAATACAATCAATCTAAACATTATGTAATGACAGTAAAGAATCGATAATGACGACAAATAAAGTAACATCAATTAAAGGCAAGCATTTTATTCTGATACAGATGCAAGCATGAAACCAGAGAGGGACAAAGAGAGGTCATCGAATCTTCCACGAAGTAATGGGTCTGTACACATTGGTACGACAGTATTCGGTGGTCAGCTCCGTAAAAGTAACGCAGTGATGCCCGAACGGGAGGAAATCGAGAAACTGTTCTCCCAACACAGAGAGTCCAGGGCTTATGTTTTAGACACTAAGTTCTCATCTCCAACATCCCTTCCCTTGTACTTTTATTTCGAGTACCAGTTTTTGCAAGAGTTAGGAAAGTTAAAGGAATACGGACATGTGAGTTTATTTTACTCAACGTTCAAACATTATCTTTTGCTCTGTGTATGTTTCTTGACTTTAGTAGTACATGTAGTACATGTTGATAAAATTCACCGTTCAAAATATTTTCATGGTTTAAAAATAGAACAGTCACTTATTTTGATTTACTCACCTGTTAAAAACCTTCTTATATATTATATAGTGGTGGAGTTATCTCTTCAATGAATTTACAAAAAAAATTCTTGATTAAAGATGCTGCTTTTTGAGGCCCTGATTGCCAATAGATGTGACTACGTACGAGTTCTCCTGGATCAGGGAGTTCGGTTTAGACTCTGGAATTTATCAGAACTGTATGAACAGGTAGGACACACGGTTTAAAGCAACACTTAAAAATGAACACACTGTATAAATATTTTTACGGAATAATCAAAATCTTTATGTTACCAAAACACCCAGCATATTCCATACATTTATTACAAGAGCACATATTTTCTTTCAAGGAATGATTAATCATTGTCAATATTTGATATGCTCTTTCGTTTAACTTAATCATCCTAAAAGGTCGTCAATATATATTTTCATAAACTGCACAACCCACATTGTAATTAGTTAAGTGTTTTTACATATATAAAGAATATTGTTGATATTTGTATAACTTTTATTAATCTCCTTTCAGACGGTTTCGTGTAAAGACTGCCATTTTGAAAATGATGACTGTCTACACATCCAATGGCTCCTGAAGGTGACGGAAGCTTTAGTTCAATAATTTATCATTGAGTCAGATTATCTCTTCCATAGCACCTTATCCCACCTCTGATGTTTTGGAAATCATTTGTTGCTCTGCCCCTAGTTTGAATAGTTTTATGGATTTTGAATATTGTTCGTTGTATCCATATAATATTTAATTCAATAGATTGCATTCATTAAGTATAAACGAAAACTAACTTTCCAAACCGAAGAGTTATATACACCCAAAATGAGTGTATCTATCTAAGCATATAATTTAAAGAAAAATTAAATAAAAATGATGGATCTTGCAGGTTATTTTCCAAAAAATACTTATTTCATGTGATTTATTTATTTTTCCCCTCGAAATATAGATATATTCAAAAAATGTGCTTTTATGAAAACATGGATCATTTTGCAGTGTTAATTTAATATAGATTTTATAATTGATACATATTAAACAGGAAATCACCTCCTTGATTTACCTTTTTGACCACTGTAACATTGAAATTAAGCATAGAATTTTTGTTGACATTTAGTTTGCTGCTGTTGTGTACATCTTGTGTACCTTGTCTGGAGAGGTACCGACCATCGAATTAACTTTAGGCTTTTTTAGCAAATTGAAAAAAAAGGAAAGGAAAACGACAGGTAATACACTCAGGGGCTCAGGTAACACCCTGTGTATATAGGTAGTATACACAAGCCAGCGTTGTTCCATCGGGGCTTCTCAGCCGCTTCGATTAAGCTCCACCCCACACCAAACTTACCTTAGGAAAACCGTACGGTTGAAAACCTCGGCCTTTAAGCAACCATTTGATATCCCTTTTTGACCTTATAACATTTATAGCATAGAATTTATTTAACATTTAAGCATTTCCTCATCAACCTCTAGAGGTTCCTTTAATTTAATTTTAGCAAATTGAGGAAAGGAAAGCCGAGGAACTATGTTTTACTCATAGACGATTGACAAGAAAGATACAGGAAAAAGAAAATGAAAATCGTCAGGCAGAAAAAGTACTGACAGGAGTCATAGTTTTTGACACGGAAACCAAAATTATCGAAAAAATAAGAAAAGAAGTAATTGAAAGAAATAAGGAAATCAGGGAACTAAAAGACCAACTGAACGCCTTTGTTAAGGACGACAAAACGCAGAGAGAGATCGCGGAATCTACTAAAGGGTTGTGTCGAACAATTCTAGGATACAAAGGTATTTATACTACCTAAGAGTTAGCAAGGAATGAGCACTCCTGCATGGCACTCTGATGCTTTGGAGGCCCATGGCCTATGTTTGCTCTGACTCAATTTCGTATTGTTTGTTGGACTTTTGTGCCTCTGTTCTTTATCTTCATTTACCCTTTCACTATCTTGTATTGACTTATGTGCATGAATACCATTCGATATCTCCATGTATTTCATATTCCTTAACCTGGTATCTAAGACAAATTCTCTACATCTTTTTTACTACTGATACTTAAAGCATATTGAAAAATTGTTTAAGGTATATTTTGTCAAGAATGCAAGTGTTTCCCGCCAAATTTTTAGCTTTATTCCCACAATAAAATTTATAATTCTGATGACGTGTACACTAAAGCCCTTTGAATTAACTCAATTTAATAAATTTTGTTTTTATGTATCGTAAGATTATTATTTTTCAATGAATATTTTAAATTTATTTTTAATCCACTGCTAAATTCATCCACTGCTTAATTCATCAAATGCTGAATTCATCCACTGCTTTATTTCAGTTGCTTAATTTTAAATTTAAAGTTTAAAAGGCCCTCCTTAAAATAATTGTGTGGTTGCCCTCTCCCGACCGACCGACTTAAAATGGATCGACTAAAACTGTTTTATGAAATTCAAGGACACGATGTTATTTTTTTAATTCATCTTATCCCGTCAATACATATGTCATTTTTCAAGAAAATAAATTTTCCCACCTACCTACCGACCAAGTAATTCTACCCTGATTTGGAGGAAGGTACGCAAACATACTTTTAAATATGGCCTAAGAGACAATTTCAGAGTGAAATTAAAATACATAAAAAATATTTCTTACAAAATTTAACAAAAACATGAATTATATACACATTTTCAACAAACGTTAAAATTATTGAACAAAAAAAACAAGAAAGGAAAAAAACAACTAAAAAATAGTTTTTAAAAATCTAAAAAAATTTACTTAACAAAAAAATTGATGAAAATGCTCTTAAAAATTATACACATTATATACACATTTTCAGAGGCAAACGTTAACGATATGGAAGACACGGAGGATCTTGAGGAAATAGAAGACGAGGATTGTGAACAAAACTTTAGCTCTATGAACATCTCTGATATCTTACTGTGGGCAATCTTCGCAAATCGGAAGGAAATAGCAGAAATTTGTTGGCTTCGTACAACAAACCATTTACGTAAGCATTGCGTTGTCTCTACAGTTAACAGTGAAGTCATTCTGATAGATAAACGAGTAAACATTGTACACAAGTAAAAAAAAAACATTTTCTGTTATGATAAAACTAGCTGTTACTACATACATTGGGTAAAATAAAAAAATATGATTTAATGCTTATTGCAGAGATAGCAATGTCTCTTTCTCTTCGACAAAGATAAAAAAGAACTGCCTCTTCATTCATTTGAAAACGGAATGCGATAAAATGTTCAATATTGTAAATTAAAATCCCTTTTTGTTGTCAGTTTAAGAACAGGTTATCCATTAACCATAATAAATACGCCAATTTGTTAAAGTTTTTTATATTAATGATTTTTTTTAAACCTAGAAATTTGCCTGAGAATTAAGTGTGAAGACTTTCTGTGCGCCGACAAAAAAGAAATGAAAATAATAATAATTTTCTTCTGTTGATTATGCAGTGAAGGGTCATTGAAATTTAAATAATTGTTTGTCTGCGCTGCGACAAAGATGAAAAAAGAACTGCCTCTTCATTCATTTAAAAACTGAATACCATTAAAGGCTCAGTATTATAACTTCAAATCTCTTTTTCTTGTCAGCTTAAGTATAAATTATCCATTAAACTTTACATGATTAAAGATTTAGCCTTACATTATACAATTAATCTTTTCGATTATCTTCACAGTGAAGGGTCTAGTCTGCGCTGCAGTGCTGAGAAAACTATCGAAGAAGGCAGACAATGTCAAGGAACAGAACCTGTCCACAGAATTCGCTAATCATGCAAAGCAAGTTTTCATGTTACTTCAATAAGAGTCGATGAATATTTGCTAGAATGAGATACTTAGGACTTTTTTTGTAAAGTAAGAAATGGTGACATCGCAGAGTATTCAAGCTTAAAGTGAATTAAAAACATACTGATTCGGAGCAGAGCAAACAATGACATGCATCCAAAATCATCAGAAATGGGATCTGGTGCCATGAAGAGTGAGCATTCCCCGCTGACCGGTCACAATTAAGTTCTGTTAATTCTGATTTTTTAATTTTCTTACTTAGGATATTTGAAGACAGATGTTTGGCAATTATGGACGGTATGTACGACGAGGATAACCAGAAAGCTATAGATCTGATGGATGACGAGGCGATAGTGTGGGGTATTAAATCCAGTCCTCTTGCCTTCGCTCACGAAAATTTCATGTACGACGTAGTGGCACACACCTGCTCTCAGAAGAACATGAACAAACGCTGGTACAACAATCTCGCACCGGACTTAAAACCATTCCTCAAGGTACATTGTATGATAAAGGATTCTTTTTATTAGCAAACATGCATGTTTGATATTTCATAAGAAAAGACATAAAATAACAAAAAGAGATTGATCTTTTAAAAAATCTTGATAGGAAAAGTCAAGAGGCCATATAAACGGTTATCTGGAAATTTTAGGTGTTTAAAAACTTAAAGAAAAAATTCAAAAAGGAATATTAATTTCAATTATAATGAAAAGAACATGCCTTAAAACTTTCAAGTTTGTTAAATATTTGAATACAAATATACCTTGAAAATTTTGTTTCATTTTGATTTTTAAAAAAAAAGTTACACTGATATTTTGAAATTTTGACTGAGCATCCCATGACCTCGTCATAAAAATGTAGATTAAAAATTAATTAAAGATTCAATTTCTGCTATAATATTTACTGTTGATGAAAATTCCTCATCTAATTTTCTTTTCAGTCCGTCTGTCGAAAACCAAGAATGTTTTTCACAGCTCCTCTCACAAAATACATGTTCAACTACGTATGTTATATTTTAACAAATTAACAATTGCTTAATTATTTCTCAAAAATCGAAATTTAAATCTTTATAGCAAACAAGAGAACATCACTACAATTTTGAAATTGATTATATTTTTGAGTTTCTATATTAATTTTTTTCGTATCACTAATAATAACAATTTTATTGTTTTTATGGTTTAAGAAATTAACACATAAAACTATTCAGCGAAATTAAGAGAAATTTGGACAACGTTCTAAAATTGAATTATGCATCATTTTTACAGACCATGTTCTTCATCATGTTGGTGATGTACAGTGCCTTTGTATTGAGTAACATTGGTTCCGAGTTTTACGAACTGGACACAAATAAAGTCTTTGAATATTTTGTTTACTTCTGGGGTACTGGAGACCTCATAGAGGAACTCATATGCTGCTTTGTAAGACAAAATTAGTCATCTAGAAATGTTTTATTAACAACAATTGCAATTATTATCGTTTCTGAATGTTTTCTAATTATTTCCAGAAACAAGTGTATTTATTTCCGTTTATTGATTTCTGGTTTCCTTTTTTGTCCATTTGCTGAAAATTTTCATCTTCAATTATTTTGTTACAATCTTTTCATTGTTTTAGAATTACTGCATATAACCAATTGTTCTGTTATTGTTCCAAACATACTAGTATGTTAACAATCTTACAAAATCAGACGGATTTAAGATATCATGCAAATAGTAAATTTCTTCAAAGAAAACTATGAAAATTACAATAACCACTGTACTATAAATTAAATTAAAACAGTTTTTCTCTTTCTCTCTCTCTGTCTCTTCAGAAATTTAAAAGGCCGAAAAATGTTTTCATTGAACCTTGTTCTTTAGTATAAAATGTACTGCTTACGACATGCTTCCACTGCTTTCACTGTAGGGGTGCCTGGAACCAGTAGGTAGGTCCCACCGTGGGTATTACTCCAGGATGAAGAGGTACCTGTTCGACTTCTGGAACGTGGTGGACCTTCTGTCCTATGTGTTACTGATTGTCGCGTTGTTTGTCCACCTTTTCCACCCATCCCCTGATTTTACTGTAGCTAGGAGGATGTTTTCCCTCTCTCTCCTCGTCATGTACCTGAGGTTCCTCGAGGTATTTCTGGTGCACAGGAAGATGGGACCAACTCTAATAATGATTAAAGAAATGGTAAAGTACATATACATAGTTTGCTCTAGTATGTTATTGATCCCTAGAAAGTTGATAAATCATTTGCTTCAACTTATTTTAATTTTCATTTGTTGCAATACATGTATTAAAAAAACCCACGATAACAAGTTAAAAGTTATCTGCTGATTATGGGTTCATGAAGCTCATAGGGACACGGTAAAATTGATAAAAAAAGGGATGGTACCTAATTCCTCCTCTGATGTTAAAGGGGTTGTGGCAACAAACTTTGAAAAAATTTCGCACTTTGAAATTTTTTTTCAAAGTGCGTTAAAATTGGGAACAAAATCAACGCAGTTTGAAAAAAAAAAATTAAAAGTGCGTTAAATTTGGGACACACTCAACGCACTTCTAAATGTTTTTTCAAAGTGCGTAATTCTTCAAAGTGCGTTGTAACAAGGGTTTTTCTTTGCTCTGCTTGAATGAAATTCTGAGCTTGCATAAAGTTAATCATTTCCAAATATTTCATTAGAAAAACGACAAAATTAAATCAATCAATATACAGGTAATTATTATATGAATACTCTGTAGTTGAAGGATCTGCTCCGCTTCCTGGTGTTGGCCGTTTTCGTGGTACTGGGTGTGGGGATGTACTACCACGCTAACCTGTGGCCGGACCACCCAAACATCTGGAGCGGGGACTGGCACAACTGGAGAATCTGGACCATCATCTATTATCCGTACTGGCAACTGTATGGGGAAATCAAAAACGAGTTCCTGGAGGGTATGTCGAAAGTATTCTTAAAGGGGGAAATGTTTAGGAAACAATTCATAAGTTTTGAGGTGTTTTTGGAGAAAAATGTGAAGATAAACGACAAAAAATGAGAAGAAAAATTGTCATTTATTCATAGCATCCTTTATTCTATGTTTTATAATTAAGGTAAGGACCTCTCGGACTGCACTAACGTGACGAGTATCTGGTCCTCAGACACGTCCAGGGAGCGGTGTCCTCAGGAAGACTGGACCGTGTCTGCCGTGGCCGCCCTCTATATGCTGTTCTCTAATCTTCTATTGGTCAATCTAGTTATTGCCATGTTTAGGTAGAGTAGCTGCTATATACATGTTGTTCTCCAGCCTTCTGTTGGTCGGTCTAGTTATATCAATATTTAGATGTGTATAACACTTTATAACTAGTGTTCCCTATTATGCGCCCGGATCGATAGATCAGAGGCGTATATTGTTTTTGTCCTGTCTATTTGTCTGTTTATCTGTTTGTCTGTCTGTTGTCAACTTTAACCTTGGCCATAACTTTTGAACTATGCGAGATAGAGACTTCATATAAGTTATGCATACTCCACTAGAAAAGTTCTTTCAAATGACATCAAGGTCAATGATCTTATGACCTTGACTGTAACCTATATGCTAAAAATAGCTTTTTCGAACTTTTGCCATAACAATTGAACCATGAAAGATAAAGACTTCATAATTGGTATGCTTACTCCACTAATTAAGCTTTTCAGTTGTCACCAAGGACATTGACCTTGTGACCTTGACTGTGACCTATAAGCTAAAGATAGCTTTTTCGAAATTTGGCCATAGCTTTTGAACCATGAGAGATCGAGACCTCATATTTGGTATACTTGCTACATTTATTTAGCTCTGTCAAATGACACCAAGGCCAAGAACCTTGTGACCTTGACTGTGACCTATATGCTAAAAATAGTTTTTGCAACTTTGTTGCCACCGGGCGCATAGTGTTTCACAAGCACATCTTGCTTTTTCTTTGCAAATATAGTTATTAGGTACATAAAAACTCTTTGTGCTATGTTTATTTATGTTTTCCATATTTGTACTGTTTTGAGCTTTTGTAAAAAAGTTAGTTGTTGCACCTTTTTCACAAAATATAAATTATTCATCATGTTTATGACGAGATTTTTTTGTACAAGCTTTTAAGGCTAGTAGAAGTTGTTAATTTAAAAGTTATTTTGACCATCAGTTTGAATATTTTTTCCCCTAATTTTTAGCTATACGTTCGAGAGAGTCCAGGAAAATTCCGAGAAGTTCTGGAAGTTTCACAGGTGTACGGTTATCAACGACTACGAGTGGAGGATTCCCTCGCCACTAAATCTTCTCTTTCTTCCTTATCGATGTTGCTGCTGGCCTGGACGTAAAGGGGGATGTAGGGACAAATGCAGAGGTAACTCGATGGTCATTTATTCATCCTTTCTCCAGATTTATCCGTTAATCTGGTTATGGCAAAACAGCACATGGCGGACGTGAACAGTCGACACAGGGAATGCATACTCCTTTTTTAAGACTGTTTAATCTGCCTCTGAATCTCTACTGTTTAAGAACCCTCTCTACACTGCACACTAAAGAGTTCTGATTCTGAAGTATTTTTCTGCAGTTAGAGTGATCTGCCCTTGTCTAAATTCTGAAAATTAGAAATTTACAATATATTACTCAATTTGTAATGAATTCAAGTATTCCTAACATTTTGAAAGGCCAAGATAAATTAACTAAACATTTATTTCTATGTATTTTCTCTATTGGAGTAATTAACAGTGATTTCTTTTAATGATACTCTGTTGTCTTTGAACCTTTTTCGCGGGGGTAAATACCACGCACCATACAGTGAAAATTAAATAAATAAGCTCATTATTTACTCCTTTATACAATATATTTTTCTCCAAAAATGTCAAAAAAAATTGCACTTGTGTAGAGAGGGTCCTTAATTGAATTTTAAGCTTGAATATTTTTTTTGTCTCAATATTCCATTTAAAATTGTTCGGAGTTTCTCCAAAAAATTTTGTTTTTATAATATTCTTTTGGTTTTTTCTCAGAATATTTCAATAAAAAAGAAGTGCAGAAAGAACTTGAAATGGACCAAAAGCAGAGAATTTACAGAATACATCTTCAGCGAAATACAGCATTTAAAATATTTAATAGAAAGTAACAAAAAGACCAAACTACAAGAACTGGAAATCAAATAAGGATGTTATGGAATATTGTAAATACAGACATGTATCAAAAGGCTCTAAGAAGGGTGTTAACTGTATTCTTCTCGCTGAATTTTTATTATATATATACATATATTTTTTAAAGATAACATGCATGTCATTTATAGTTGTGTGGATAAATTATAGTAGAAGACAATGATTATAAACAGTTTGCCAGTGCATTTCCTCTGAAAGTGTAATTTAACATTCACCGTAATAATTCCCTTTAATTTTAGAATTCATTATAAGGGTATCCTTGATTTGAAAAAATTAAATGAATGCTTATATTCAATATTCGTGTATGTGTCCTTGTTACTTGACACACAAAGTTAGCGGGAGATAAGTATTTGATCATTGAAATACAGATTAACCGATATTTTAACAATTATTTTTCTGAAAATATACCAAAATTTCGAGGGCCTTAAAATGTTAGATATTTGAATTACACAATTTGTCTTCAAAACACGATTTTAATTATGCATTAAATCAAGATTACTTCTTTGGTGAGCAGAAAACTTAAGAAAGATTTGACAAAAAACAAGCTCAAAATCAGTATCAATCTTTGGCACCTGCACAACCGTTCTTTATTTTTGCTTTGTTATATAATTTTTCGGGGTTATCTAATTTTTTTTCCATTTTAGAGCATAAACAAATTAACTGATATCTAAATGATTTTTTGAAGAGGCCCTTATTATACAAGGTATTTAAATTACATAATTATCTTCACAACAAAGATTAAAATGCTTCACAAAATTACATTAATAGAACTTCCTGGTTGTGAAACTTATACTAGTATATGAATAAGAACAAGTACCATGTTATGACATTTACACAACGTCCTTTTATTTTGCTTTATATACATTTATATATCTTTCGTAATTCAATCTTTCCCTTGCTTTAATAAGATCTGCTTTAGAAATAATTTTGTTTTGGAGAAAAAACAATCAAAAGAAAATAACCTTGGTGTTTCGACCGGTTTCAAATTAAAAGAATTCAATAAAATTTTATCAATTTTCTTTCTGAAAATAAATCTTGTCCTGTATCTGTCAACCGCGGTGGTATATACCTTTGACATAACATGAGCTTATCAATCTAAATCTTACATTACATTAATTCATTTAATATCGCATAACAATAAGATTTTTTTCCCTTTTGCTCTATAAATGTGGACATCCTAGTTGCTGGTATGAAATATAACTGGATAAGGATTTTATTAAACTAGAACCGTCCAATAGGGACAAATACCCCCCGCTGGGTTTTTCAGAGAAGGTGCCAATTCACAAATACTTTATGGATATAGAGGTGTTCACAATTTACTTACAAAAATTTGCAGTGAAATATAATTGCTCATTATGTTTCTTAATGAATGAAACAAAGGTGCAACCAAATGAAACATTAATACTTATATATTGTAATTCCATTGTAACATTTTTTTTTTATTTCTGCATTAAAAAAATATATTCCAATTATGTGTCATGACACTCTGCAAACTGATTGTTGAAAAAAAAATCATATTATACAAAATCAAATTAATCTTGATAATTTTATATCAAATTCATTTTGAAAAAAATAGCTGGTCATCCAGTAATGAAGTGCTTTGACAGACAATAAATTACAATTAAGAGAATAAGAGAAGAGAGAACTTTAATTCTTGTGCCAAATTCCCAGGAGATATAGATAAAACATGGTTGATAAGACATGCCTTAACAACTTCCCACACCAAACTCATTAATTTATCTTTAACCGGATGCATGTCCAGTCATAATTCCCAAGAGACAAATGAATTTACATTATCTTCTGTGTAATGTAAAAACTGTTTTTAACACTTGATGAAGTTTCTTTTTTTATGAGTAGTTTTAAGCTGAAGTTCACATTTTTATACAGATATTCTAGATTCTATGTCTCAAACCTTATACATGAGCCCAATGAACCAATGAACAAGTCAATCAAAATAAAAAACAAGAGGCCCACGGGCCTTATAGGTCACCTGAGTATTGTGTAACAACATTCAAACAATTAAATTTGGTTTGTGTTTTAAACCAGAGGCCATGAAATTCACAATTTTGAAAGAGGCACCACTGCTTATCATAATTATAAAGTTAGCATGCTTACTCTATTTACTTAATACCCAGAGGTAGATCAGAGTAACAAAGAGAAAATGCACTTCCACTTTATACCCAGTTGTGCACCTAACTCCAAAGGAACCACTGACCCAGGGGCCACATATTTCAAAATTTTATCATAAAATGGTTGCTTAATACCAAAGAGCAGATTTCAAAGCATTTATTTATTTTTAGATTATGTACCCCCCCCACCACCACCACCACTCTGACCCAGGGGGCATAAAAAAAACCACTTTGCTAGATGTACCTTTCTTCATCATAAATATATAAACTTGGATCATTGGCATAAAACCAAGAAGCAAAGGAAAATATTTTCAATGAATTAATGCATTTTCACTATATGATCAACAGAGCCCTGCCCTAACACCAGAAACCCTGAGCCTGGGGCCATAAAATTCACAGTTTTGGAAGAGGCTCTCTTGCTCATCATAACTATGTGCTTAGTTAGTTCATTTAATACCCAGAAGCAGAGAAGAAGATTTTCAAAGAATTAATGCATTTTCACTATATAATCAATAGAGCCCCGCCCTAACACCAGAACCCCTGACCCCGGGGCCATAAAATTCACAATTTTATAGGAGGCACTCTTGCTCATCATAACTATGTACTTAGTTAGTTTATTTAATACCCAGAAGCAGAAAAGATTTTTAAAGAAATAATGCATTTTCACTACCTACTTATTTAGCCCCGCCCTAGCACTAGAACCCCTGACCCCAGGGCCATGAATTTCACAATTTTGGTAGACTCATTGCTGATTACAATCATGCAAACAGTTTGACTGCTTGATGTCCAGGAGTAAAGAAGAAGATTTTTAAAGATTGCATTAATTTTAGTGGTTTTGGCCCCACCCCTCAGGCCCCAGGGGGGCAGGGACCATGAAATTCACAATTTTTGTTCCCCTTCACCCACAGATGCTGTATACAAAATTTGGTTGAAATTGGTTTAGCAGTTTCAGAGAAGAAGCTGAAAATGTTCAAATGTTAACACACGACGGACGACGAACGACGGACGCCGACGGAAAAACACGGATGGCAATAGGTCACCTTAGTGACTCTGGTGACCTAATAAAACCTGTAAAATGCAGAAAAATGAAATAAAGTTGAAAATTCCCGGTGCACACCTTCATATGGTGAATAATAAGTGTACAAATTTTCTGATAAATCCTTGCAATAGTTTCTGAGAAATAGTCTGCACAAATCCACAAAATAAAAATGAAAAAAAAAACACCTGTAAAATTCAAAATAATCATCCAATCAAGATGAAAATATCAGGTGTACACCTTCATATGGTGAACAATATGTGTACAAATTGTCAGACAAATCCTTCCAATAGTTTCTGAGTAATGGTCCGGACAAAATCTTGTCTACAGACAGACGGACATGGTGATTCCAATATAACCCCCCTAAACTTCGTTTGCGGGGGTATAATAACATATAGAGATAACAAACAGCAATCAATCGCATGAACCCATTGAAAAAAATTGGGAGAGGAGTAAACAAAGGCCTCTAAAACATTATGGATGGGATCAGGTGCCATGGACGTGTGAGTATTCCTCTAATACAGTACACAGATCGGAGATGGGATCAGGTACGTGATTTCTATGTTTGATCAATGGACTTTTGGACATGGTTATTGTTCCTTTTCACAACTCATGACCCAATACAAAATTAACCTTATTAATCCAACATACATCGGAGACACTTCTTTTTTTGCCTCCGTAAACGAAGTTTCAGGGTATACAGTTTTTGTCGTGTCCGCCCATCTGTCTCTCTGTTTGGCCGCAAAAACTTTAACCTTGCCCATATATAACTTTTGATTTTGTGGAGCTACGACTTTCATATTTCATGTGTATTCCTTGTGACAAGACCTTTCTTTGGGTACCACCAAATTTGACCTTTCGACCTTGGGGTTTGATTTACTTTTACATAAAAATTCTAAACTTTTACTTTGGCCACATCTTTTGAACAGTAGATACCAGGACATTTATACTTCATATAATTTATGTATTGTTTTTGGCAAGACCTTTCATTGCATACCAATAACCTTGACCTTTTGACCTTGATGATTTCTGTACTTGTGAACAAATTTTATTCTTGGCTATAAGTTTTGCACAGTAAGGGATATGGCTTTCATACTTCACATATGTAGTCCTTATATGCAGACACTTGATAGGATACCAAGAACTTTGACCCTTGACCTTGGAGTTTGGCCTACTTTTAAAAAGCAAACATTGACGATAACTTTTAAGGGGGCCGACTATAGTTTTATTATGTGAAAACTACAATAGCGAAACTCTTCGTTTTTATAACATGTATAACTTACATTAACTTCAGTGTACATGCAAAGTTTGGGGGAAATCTACCGTCCAGGTATCTTTGAGGGACCGTCTCAAAATACAGATACATTTACTATAGGATTATATAGGAAAATGCCAATTTTTAGCATTTTAAAGCAAATTATACAAATACTACAATAGACATTTTGTTCAAACTATAATATTTGATGAGTAATACTATATTATACAATATATGTAAGAAACACAAAATTCTACCGTCTTGTTACCTGAGTGGGCATCTCAAAATGCAAAAAATTAGCAAATTTTACTATTTTTATAGAGTTTTACAAAATATGACGTACATTATGGATTCACATGAAAACATAATAAAAATATTGGAGATCTTCTCAAATTTCTATGTTTTAAATTTCAAGAGTGTATGATTATTACTTTTTCTTTAATAAAATTTTTATTAACCCATTCTTTAAGAGCTACAGATTATCATAACGTCAAAAACACACTGCAACGACGTCAACCTACCTATCAATTGCAAAAACGGTTAACAAATCATTTATTTAAAATTGTAATTACATTTTTATACCTATAATTCCTTAATTTTATTTAATTTTAATAATTAAGCGAAAAAGTTGCATTAAAACAGTAAATACGCTTCGTTTTACTATGATGCGCGAAATATTGCGCAATGGAAACTATAGTCGGCCCCCTTAAAGGGTAAGGGCTAGTGCTTTCATGCTTAACTTGTTTTATTCTTGTGACAAGCCTTTCATTTGATTGCAAGACCTTTGACCTTGGAGTTTGACCTACTTTTTAAAAATGTTCACCTTGGCCATGACTTTTGAAGGGTTAGAGCTGGGGCTTCCATACTTTACATATACATTTTTGTGGCAAGGCCATTCATTGGATACCATTTACCTTGATCTTTTGACCTTGTAGATTTCTGTGTTTATGAAAAATCTTTAACCTTGGCCCAATTTCATATTTCCTAATTTGTATTTCCGGTGAGTTTGCAGTTAAGAAAAGTTTAATCTTTGGTATGTTGCCATACGGGGCATCAGTGTTTCGCAAACACTTCTTTCAGGAATCCTTTAAATAATTATCTTTATTCTGTCTAAATTACTATTATAAAAAGATTATAAAAAAAATTGAAGCTTTATTCTCCCTAAATGTGTTAATGTAAATCTTTGTCACCATGGTGTATAAACTGGAGGGTGTCTGCAATAATTCTCATCGCTAAAATCATTATGCATCCAAAATGTTTGAATCAATGTGCCTTTAAAACGGCTGAATCAAATCCCTTGATCCAAACATAATGGCATTTTGTTATTACAATGTCTGTGATATGGAATGGATGACAGAATTTTAACATCTGCAGAGCTGAGGATTGACCTTGACCCAGCTGTGGCTCCATACTTCATAACTAACAGATGTTGGAACTTTAAAAATTACCAGTACTTTTACATGGCCTAATCAAGACACAGAGATATTTCAAGAATTTTATTATTCATTTGCTGATGGTTTCATCATATTAGATAATGAGCAGCTAAGACTCCTTTTCAGTGATGAAGAAATCCTCCTGTGGTTAGACATGAGAGATTTACGGTTTTTATACCCAGTCATGTAGAGGATGTCTTCAGCCTCGAAGCCCTCGTCCGTCAGGTGCTGGATGGCAGTGTCCCGCAAAGACTGACCTGAATAGTCCCGTGACAGCCCTGCCCCCCGACTGATGTCCTTCATAAAGCGACTCATGGTCCCCTGTGTGAGGGGCGCGGCCCTGTACCACTTATTCATACTCCTCGGCAGACACATCGAGTCCTTTCTGTGGTTATTAAAGAGAGCAGAGGCACCGTTGTCAGTTTTAGCTATAAGTAATTTTAACATTTTTACAGGACACGCGACTTCATCTGTGGTGTACATGCGCTTGTCTATGGTTATTTCTGCGTTTTTAACACCTTTTAGTCGGATTTCGTGATTGACGTATTCACCGCTGTCATCACTGATGAATGTGAAGGAGTCTATCTTCATGTCCCTCCGGAAGTCGTGAGCTCGACAAATAAAGTGGACAGTCAGATGAAAGTAAACACATTGTCTGAGAATTATCGGGTTCAACAGTGCATGTTTAAAATAACTGGCCATTTTTTCTAGATCAGATTTCTCGATGATTTCTCTGTGCGGCATGGACACTCCTATGCCCTCCCTCGCCCGTACCTTAAATAAGCCAGCTAACACCCCATTAGATGACCTGAACTCCTTATCCTTCACTATGTCTACATTTCTCTTTAAGTCCCCCAGTTTGCGGTTGATGGCCGCCCTCAGGTTTGTCAGTGTGTTTTTGTGGTACACCTGTCCGTCTTTCTCTGGCCTCGCCTCGCAGTAGAACTTCTCCAGTAGCTTGTTGAGCTGGGCGGGGGAGACGTTCTCAAAATCTATCTCCTCCCCTCTCCTCTCACGGCTCCAGTCTACAGAAAGAAAACGTACTTCATCAATACTTAAGGAGACTCTAAACACTGCACACTGAAGAGTTCTACTCAATCAGTACTTAAGGAAGCTCTAAACAATGCACATTAAAGAGTTCTACTTCATGAATACTAAAGGAAGCTCTAAATAATGCACACTAAAGAGTTCTACTTCATCAATGCTTAAGGAAGCTCTAAAAACTGCACACTAAAGAGTTCAATTTAGGGTAAGTTTTATGCATTTACATAATTGTATTAAAACCTGTCTTACCCTGCATCATTTTACATCCCCAGGTAGTGTTCTTCTTTGTGCCGTAGGTTTGTCGCGCCTCAAACAACTGGTTGATTTCCTCCTCAGTACTCGTGGTGAATCTCTTCTTCTTCCCTCCTGGTAATAAATTGTCTGTTCCTTTGGAGCGTTTCAGTGAAGCAGGATTTGACGGTGTGTCCGTATCGTCACTGCTGCCAGAGGACTGGCTCAGATTGTCATCAAAATCATCAGCTTCTGACTGAGTATCATCGTCATCCTCATTAAGATTACCATCAGGCATAGTATCTAAATCACATGTCAAAAGTTAGGTGACCTCTGAATTTTATGTCATTTCAGTCATTTCACAGAAACATACAAAAATATTGTGTTTAGAAATATATAACAAGGGCAAGAAGAGGTGGAGTATCTCCTTAAATCGAGGCTAACATTGATTCCAATGCAATTTATGTTACTTCAAGTTCTGCACAAAGAACAAACTATGGCCAACTTTAAAATAATGTTTGGGTGCCCCCTCCCAACTTAGGATGAAAAATTTAGGTCGTTAGATAGGTGAGAATTTTTTTTCCTCAGAAAATTCAATTTCATGCTGAATCATCAAAATCTATTTTCCAGAGTGCATAAAAAATCATTGATTCTTGGAGGATCAAATAAAAGTTTTTCAAGTTGCGCCCTTTTTAGCCAGTTGGTTGGGAGAGGGCAATCAAACAATTTTTTAAAGTCCTAGCTTAAGTGAGCTAGAAACAGGGTACCGTTTCTCAATTCACTTACCATTGTCAAGCACTGTCTTGGACTTTTCCCCTTCTTGCGTTTCCTTTTCATCAACACTGGCAAATCTTTTTCTGGTCCTGGCCACTTCACCATTATCAGACAGTGACCTCTTTAGTTTACTTCCCTCTGCAATCTGAAAAAAAATCATTGATTGCAAAATCGAGCTTCTCATCTGGATATGTTTGCATTATTAAATAGGAAACTTCATTTACTGACCAGCTCTGCTGAAACCTGCTGTAATACTACAGTAGGCTGATGTGTTCGTATCATAGGTTGTGCTCCTAATGTATTCTGCTGCCCTTCTATTATAGGTTGCTGCCCTCTGGTGGTAGGCTGTTGTACTCCAATCGTAGGCTGCTGTGCTCCTATCATAGGTTGTGCTCCTATTATAGGCTGCTGTGCTCCTATTACATGCTGCTGTCCTCCTGTAGGCTGTTGCCCTCCTGCTACAGTTTGCTGCCTTCCCATCATTCCCTGCTGTACTCCTGTAGGCTGTTGCCCTCCTGCTACAGTTTGCTGCCTCCCCATCATTCCCTGCTGTCCTCCTGTCACAATGTAAGGCTGTGAGGATATATAGCCCCTCTGGACTACACTAGGTAACACTGTAAAGTTAGCGGCCCTAGGAAGAGATCCCGGGATTAAATTAGCGGCCCTGGGAACAGATCCCGGGATCTGGGTGGAGCCCTGAAGGTTCAGTCTCAGTGGATTATTTCCCGGGATCTGGGAGGTCAATCCCAGTGAAGGGATTAGTGTTTCCCCAGTCTGAGGATTTACTAATATTGTCTGAGGTATAGAATCATTCCGTACATACAGAGATTTTCCTTCTCTCACCGTTTTGATTGGTAAGGGTACTGTATTTCCCCTTAAGTCTGTGTTCACAGGGGACGCTACATTAGCCACAGGTATAACAGTCCTTATTATCCTGTGTGCAAACAGAACAGTGTTCTGAGGAACATTCTGTGCTAGGACTGAAGGATGAACTCCTGGAGTTGCCTTTGCACTTGAAGTCCTCGGTCCACTGTTGTCCCTCTCTGGGGAGCTGCCTGGTTCTGTCTTTATTGTTTCTAGTCCCTCCCTGCTTTTCTCACTGGTATCACTTGTTAACACACAATTCAATGAATCAGAATGATTATCAACAGGTTCCTGTTTTACTTGTGTAATGATGTGGGAGGGATTATCTCCCCCTGACTCATCAGTTCTACTGGCTGTTGTTTGGATTATGCTGCTCTCTGAATGAGTGGTGGATCCAGAGTTTTGTGGGGTGTATTCCTCAGAGTCCAATTCCTGCTTTATTTCTATTTCCTGTATTAGAAGAAATGGTGTACACAAATTAGGGTTAATTTATCACATAAATTAATCAAAATTTGTAAATATTATGCATCAATGAATTACCTTGAATAGAAATGTTTGGAACTTAGCTAAATGCCCATTTTAGAAAAATGGGGCCAAGGTCAAGGTTAACAAATTATGGTGGAAAGTAATAGAAAATATAACATCTGACCATTGATAAAAATACCTTGATACAGGTTAGAATAATTTCCATAAGAAATTAATAACTTATATTAAAATCCGTTTTTTTTTTTTTTTTTTTTTGCAGTGGTCTATTTTTTCGCCTTTTCTGTGATAATTTTTATTTGCAAAATATAAAACACACAGAAATTATGTACTGGTAAGCTAAAATGCGAGATAAAAACATTACCATTTTAAAAAAATGCCTTCAATCGTAAAAAATAACCTTTGTAAAATTAAAACCCCATGTACCAGTAGGTTGGCTTGGGTGAATGAACTGAACTTGAACAAACAAATCTACCCTTTTTTTTTGCAAAATTTTCAAAATGTGAAAACAAAACCCCCCAAAAAGTGGCTATATGGTATTACTTAGCATGAACTTAGTACATGAATTTGTATGTTTTGTTTTTTTCTATGATTTTTAGATAAAAAAAAGTTTTTGAACAACATTTTACCCTTTGTTTGAAACATACAAGTAAAGATTAAACAATGAAATTCTTTAAATTGTTCTTTCAGAGAATGTCTTTTTATACATGTATACACAACACTGACCTCATCATCTTCAAGGTCAAGGTCACTGGTAGAATCGTCATCAGCAGACTGGTCCTCATCTATAGTCTCTGCTCCGTCATCAACTGTCAAAACAGGGTACTTTTATAGGAAGACAAGGAGACTGTTATGTTTTGAACATACATTATAAACTGTAAGATTCAGAGTACAGTGAAAACTGTCTAATCCCACACCTGAATAATCTGACACACTGTGAATTCCGACGTTACATTTCTTTCCTATTTGAGTAATTTCCTTCTTTTTAGCACTGTGCAATCCGACACCCTGTCTATTCCAACACAAAATTTATCTCCCACTCCATGTCAGATTAGACAGGTTTCACTGTACTTTTATAGTAGGGATTCCGAATTTTTTATGAGTTTTTTTTGCCATTATCGCGAAAAGTCTCTTTCATGTTAAATTGTGAGAATGATAATAAGTGAATGGACTGTTGATCAAGAGCATTAACATGGATTTCAACATCATAGAAATAATAGCGAGAAATTTTAATTTGCGAGTGATGCTTTTCGCGACATAATGTGATAATTAATTCCTTGCATATAATTAGGAATCTACAGTATCACGTCATCTGAGGGTAAATATTCTCAATAACAATTATGTAAAAATATTATCCTTAACAGTACTGATGCCCCCAGCCATTTTCAGTATTTCACTGTTGAACATGTATTAGACAATAAAAGTACTGTACAGAGTACCATAGAAGTACTTTAATTCTGCAATGAACCCATTTTGAATTCTCTTTATGAATGTGGTCACAAATATTCCACATAAATTTGTCAGGTCACACTTGCTATTCATTTAAGGCCTGGAGTGAGATTCTAGGAAATCTGGATAATTTTTTACCCACCGATTACTGTATACAGGGAAATTTTTGCCCCTATTTTATTTTCGCCCCTTTCGCCCTATTTTCAATTAAGTGAAATTAAAACGGGGCAAATTCAAAGAATACAGTATAATTTCTTAAACAAAACTATGACTGGGCGAATTTAAAACGGGGCAAAATTGTTTGTAAGTGTGAAAGGGCGAAGATAAGACGGGGCGAAAATAACCCTGTATACAGTAAACGGAAAAAGAGATTCCATGGAATAATGACTCCAGCACAAAAAGTTTTACTACAGGTATAACAGTTTGTACATGACCATTGCTTTGAATCTCTGACTCTCATACCTTCTAACTGAAGTGAGACATCATTACTTATTTCTTCAGAGTCCTTGGATGGATTGTCAACTATTGAAAAAAGAAAAAAAACTTCTAGGTCAGAAATTATTTCTTCACTCAGACAAAACAATATCTCCATAGACAAAACATTCAAATATTTGTTATTCATACAAAATGCAATATCATTCTGTAAAAGACATAGTACACAGAACAGCTTTCAGACTAATATCCTAGGGATTATTGAGATGACAACCTGATAATACTCATTCATAACTTTGATTTCAAACATATTTTCTTTCCTTTTTTGGCACTGCTTAACGGCCATAAGTGCCAAGAATGGGACAAAATTTGATAACTTGATAATGACTTTTAGAGCTTAATGAAGACTTTCAGTTTGAACTTGATGGGGATTCACACATAGAACCTCATCGGGATATAGAACTCAAAAGTGACTTGCACTTATAATAGGATTCATTGGTAATTACACAAAAAGGTAATGAATGGGGATTTATACTTCAAAATTGACATATTTATCTTAAAATTGGATGGGGATTTAGAGCTAAATTGGGACTTGCACTTAGAACTTGATTGGGAGTTACATTTTGAATTTGATCATGTTGATGGGGACTAAACTAAGAACTTGATAATGACTTACACTTAGAACTTGGGGAATTGCTTTGTTGTCCGTTTGACCTCTCATGACCGGTTGTCTGTCCAGTTTGCCTTCTACAAAAGACATAAACATAGTTTGTAAGTAAGTTAAATGTTCACATGTAAATACATTCAGATCTCATCTCAAACTCAACTTGACCAAAACTCAACATTGAGATATAGGAAATATTGAATTAGATAACAAAGTTAAAAGTGTATCATAAAAAATCCTACATGTCATTACACTCTCCAAAGTCACTTTAGCCTTGGTAACCTTTGTATTAAGTATCAATTTTTAATGAGGCTCCAGCTGAGAAATACTGACCAGCTGAGACTTACTGACCAGTTGAGACATACTGGGACTTACTGACTAGCTGAGACTTACTGACCAGCTGAGACATACTGACCAGCTGAGACTTATTGACCAGCTGAGACTTACTGACTAGCTGAGACTTACTGACTAGCTGAGACATACTGACCAGCTGAGACTTACTGACAGCTGAGACATACTGACCAGCTGAGACATACTGACCAGCTGAGACATACTGGGACTTACTGACTAGCTGAGACATACTGACCAGCTGAGACTTACTGACCAGCTGAGACTTACTGACTAGCTGAGACTTACTGACTAGCTGAGACTTACTGACCAGCTGAAACATACTGACCAGCTGAGACATACTGGGACTTACTGACTAGCTGAGACACACTGAGACTTACTGACCAGCTGAGACTTACTGACTAGCTGAGACATACTGACTAGCTGAGACTTACTGACTAGCTGAGACATACTGACCAGCTGAGACTTACTGACCAGCTGAGACATACTGACTAGCTGAGACATACTGGGACTTACTGACTAGCTGAGACACACTGAGACTACTACCTGACTTACTGACTAGCTGAGACTTACTGACTAGCTGAGACTTACTGACCAGCTGAAACATACTGACCAGCTGAGACATACTGACCAGCTGAGACATACTGACCAGCTGAGACATACTGGGACTTACTGACTAGCTGAGACTTACTGACCAGCTGAGACTTACTGACTAGCTGAGACTTACTGATTAGCTGAGACTTACTGACTAGCTGAGACATACTGACCAGCTGAGACTTACTGACAGCTGAGACATACTGACCAGCTAAGACATACTGACTAGCTGAGACATACTGACCAGCTGAGACATACTGACCAGCTGAGACATACTGACTAGCTGAGACATACTGACCAGCTGAGACATACTGGGACTTACTGACTAGCTGAGACTTACTGACCAGCTGAGACACACTGACCAGCTGAGAAATACTGACCAGCTGAGACATACTGACCAGCTGAGACATACTGGGACTTACTCACTAGCTGAGACATACTGACTAGCTGAGACATACTGAGACTTACTGACCAGCTGAGACTTACTGACCAGCTGAGATTTACTGATCAGCTGAGACTTACTGACTAGCTGAGACATACTGACTAGCTGAGACATACTGACTAGCTGGGACATACTGACCAGCTGAGACTTACTGACCAGCTGAAACATACTGACCAGCTGAGACATACTGACCAGCTGAGACATACTGGGACTTACTGACTAGCTGAGACACACTGATCAGCTGAGACATACTGAACAGCTGGGACTTACTGACCAGCTGAGACACACTGACCAGCTGAGACATACTGACTAGCTGAGACATACTGACCAGCTGAGACATACTGGGACTTACTGACTAACTGAGACTTACTGACCAGCTGAGACATACTGAGACTTACTGAACAGCTGGGACTTACTGACCAGCTGAGACACACTGACCAGCTGAGACATACTGACTAGCTGAGACATACTGACCAGCTGAGACATACTGGGACTTACTGACTAGCTGAGACATACTGACTAGCTGAGACTTTGACCAGCTGAGACATACTGTACCAGCTGAAAATAATGGGACTTATATAGCTGGGTATGACCAGCTGAGAAAGGACATACTGACTAGCTGAGACATACTGACTAGCTGGGACATTCTGACCAGCTGAGATTACTGACCAGCTGAAACATACAAATTTGATACTGACCAGCTGAGACATACTGGGACTTACTGACTAGCTGAGACACACTGATCAGCTGAGACATACTGAACAGCTGGGACTTACTGACCAGCTGAGACACACTGACCAGCTGAGACATACTGACTAGCTGAGACATACTGACCAGCTGAGACATACTGGGACTTACTGACTAACTGAGACTTACTGACCAGCTGAGACATACTGAGACTTACTGAACAGCTGGGACTTACTGACCAGCTGAGACACACTGACCAGCTGAGACATACTGACTAGCTGAGACATACTGACCAGCTGAGACATACTGGGACTTACTGACTAGCTGAGACATACTGACTAGCTGAGACTTACTGACCAGCTGAGACATACTGACCAGCTGAGACTTACTGGGACTTACTGACTAGCTGAGACTTACTGACCAGCTGAGACATACTGAGACATACTGACTAGCTGAGACATACTGACAGCTGAGACTTACTGACCAGCTGAGACTTACTGACCAGCTGAGACATACTGGGACTTACTGACCAGCTGAGACTTACTGACCAGCTGTCACAATGACCAGTTTTGACTTACTGACCAGCAAGACATACTCAAAGACTTACTGACCAGCTGAGACATACTGACCAGCTGAGACTTTTACTGACCAGCTGAGACATATGACCATTTTTTACCAGCTGACATTTTGACCAGCTGAGACTTATGACTAGCTGAAACATAGTGACTAGCTGAGACATACTTACCAGCTGAGACTTAGGTCAAGGTCACCAGGCTGAGACACACTGACCAGCTGAGACATACTGAGACTTTTGACTAGCTGAAACATACTGACTAGCTGAGACTTACTGACCAGCTGAGACATACTGAGACTTACTGACTAGCTGAGATTTACTGACCAGCTGAGACTTACTAAGACTTACTGCCCAGCTGAGTCATACTGACCGACTGAAACTTACTGACCAGCTGAGACTTACTGACCAGCTGAGACATACTGACCAGCTGAGACTTACTGACCAGCTGAGAATTACTGACCAGCTGAGACATAATGACAGCTGAGACTTACTAAGACTAACTGACCAGCTGAGACTTAGTGACCAGCTAAGACATACTGACCAGCTGAGATTAACTGACCAGCTGAGACTTAGTGACCAGCTGAGACATACTGACCAGCTGAGACACACTGACCAGCTGAGACATACTGACCAATTGAGAAATACTGACCAGCTGAAATTTACTGAGACATACTGACAGCTGAGACATACTGAACCAGCTGAGACTTACTGACCAGCTGAGACTTACTGATACTTACTGACCAGCTGAGACTTACTGAGACATACTGGGACGTACTGACCAGCTGAGACTTACTGACCAGTTGAGACATACTGAGACTTACTGACCAGCTGAGACATACTGACCAGCTGAGACTTACTCAGACTAACTGACCAGCTGAGACTTACTGACTAGCTGAGACATACTGACCAGCCGAGACTTACTGACCAGCTGAGACATACTGACCAGCTGAGACTTACTGACCAGCTGAGACTTACTGACTAGCATAAACTTACTGACCAGCTGAGACTTACTGACCAGCTGGGACATACTGACCAGCTGAGACATAATGACAGCTGAGACATACTGACAGCTGAGACTTACTGACCAGCTGAGACTTACTGACCAGCTGATACTTACTGACCAGCTGAGACATACTGAGACTTACTGACTAGCTGAGACATTCTGACCAGCTGAGACATTCTGACCAGCTGAGACATACTGACAGCTGAGACTTACTGACCAGCTGAGACTTACTGACAGCTGAGACATACTGAGACTTACTGATTAGCTGAGACTTACTGACCAGCTGAGACATACTGACCAGCTGAGACTTACTGACCAGTTGAGACACACTGACCAGCTAAGACTTACTGACTAGCTGAGACTTACTGACCAGCTGAGACATACTGACCAGCTGAGACATACTGACCAGCTGAGACTTACTGACCAGCTGAGACATACTGACCAGCTGAGACATACTGGGACTTACTGACAAGCTGAGACTTACTGACCAGCTGAGACTTACTGACCAGCTGAGACATACTGACCAGCTGAGACATACTGACCAGATGAGACGTACTGACTAGCTGAGATTTACTGACCAGCTGAGACATACTGACCAGCTGAGACATACTGGGACTTACTGACTAGCTGAGACTTACTGACCAGCTGAGACATAATGAGACTTACTGACTAGCTGAGACTTACTGACCAGCTGAGACAACTGACATTTTATTGTTTTTTGACCATCAGTTCCTGACAAGCTGTATATTGAGACTTACTGATTAGCTGAGAAACTGACCATTTTACATCTGACCAGAAGACTGACCAGCTGAGACTTACTGACTAGCTGAGACTTTTGAGCAGCTTTTGACCAACTGAGACAAACCAGCTGAGACATACTGACAGCTGAGACTTACTGACTAGCTGAGACTTACTGACCAGCTGAGACATACTGACAGCTGAGACTTACTGACCAGCTGAGACATACTGACCAGCTGAGACATACTGGGACTTACTGACTAGCTGAGACATACTGACTAGCTGAGACTTACTGACCAGCTGAGACATACTGACCAGCTGAGACTTACTGACTAGCTGAGACTTACTGACCAGCTGAGACATACTGACCAGCTGAGACATACTGGGACTTACTGACTAGCTGAGTCTTACTGACTAGCTGAGACTTACTGACCAGCTGAGACTTACTGACTAGCTGAGACTTACTGACTAGCTGAGACATACTGACCAGCTGAGACATACTGACCAGCTGAGACATACTGGGACTTACTGACTAGCTGAGACTTACTGACCAGCTGAGACATACTGAGACATACTGACTAGCTGGGACTTACTGACCAGCTGAGACTTACTGACCAGCTGAGACATACTGAGACTTACTGACCAGCTGAGACTTACTGACTAGCTTGCCTTTTCTGTCAATGACCTTAGCATGACATTAAATCAAGGTCAACACATTCTCCAAGGTCAGATGCAATATTTGTGAGGTAAGTGAGTCTTTCATGTTCTTCATTTGTTCTAGATGGTTTGGACAGTACAGTGTAATACGTAATATCGCAAGTACCTCGCAGTTACCTAACTTACTATCACTCTTTTGCAGGGGAGTCGAGAAAGGTCAAATTTCGAGAGATTACTGGGGCACATGGCATTGCTTACAGTAGTACCAATCGAATGATTTGAACAATTTCATGCCGAAAGTACAATGTATTTCCAAGAATTGAACTCCAAATAGTAGATTGTAAAATAAGAAAAGTTTAGATTATTTTTATCAGCTTTTAAATGTGACGATTTTCAATGAAAATTTAATGAGAAGAGCCTGCTTCATTAAAAATATCGCTAAAAATGTAACATTTTAGAATAAGCTCCTCTCAAAAATTAATAAGGCTGGTTCAGCAATTGGTTTATAGCAGGGTAATTCACCAGGAATTTTTACTTATCTGTCCTTAAGGCTTATAAATTCTACAATGATTGATCTTGGATTGTATTCAAGAGCACATTGATCCCCAGCCAACAGACATTTCCTACCTCCATCATGAAAAAGTTCTGCTAAGTTAAGTATTTGCAATATCAAGTATTACACATTTTTCCAAAAGAAGTAATGAATTAAATTGTGAGCACAGCACAGCTTGCAATGTGAGCTCTAACTACAATGCCTGGGTGAAGAGAAATCGGACTCACACTATGAACCAAACCAATTTTTTTTCAGCACTAACATTTGCACCCACTATGCATCACTTCTTTAAGCTATGTTCTTTGGAGAAATAACAACAAGGAGAGTTTGACCAGTCGGCAGGGGATGCTTACTCCTCCATGGCACCTGATCCCACCTCTATGTTTTTTGTGTCCGTGTAACTTTCTCTGCTCCTATTTTGTATTGTTTTATGGACTTTCATTATCTCCAATTCTTTCATTGATAAGACTTACCGGTTAGATTCTGTGGTTGACCCGGTGTTGGTTTTTGATGTTTTTTTATTTCTGTGACAATTACTATTTTTTGCTATCAGTTTCTGTGTATATTCATCATTCTCATATCTGAAAAATGAACATTCACATCAGAAGATGAAAGCATGGGTTCAGTATGTTATGTTCTTTTTTTAAAAAAGAAATTGTTGTAAGCCTATTGAGGGAAAAAATCTACTTAGTACTTTTGATGAATATTTCCAGCGCCATGGGATGATGATTTAATTGCTTTTTTACAGAAGCTAAAAATTAAGAAACTGAATTTTCTAAGCTATGAATACAGGGAAAGATCAAATTTTAGTAAAAGGAATTCACTATTGATTTATTCATGAATAACTAAATAAGTTAATTTCAAATTGGTTTAAAATACTAGTCTACATGTAGTTTGTTTGATTTTTATTTTGTTTGTGTACATAACTTTTCTCCTCTCTGATTCTCTAACACATATGTCACAGGTTTTATTGCATGTGACATTTTTAAAATTTTTAAGAGCCTTATTAATTAGTCTGTTAATGCAGGTATGATATCTATAGCCGAAACCGGTTAAAACCGGTTATTTTGAGTTCAGAGTTAATGGCTCAATGAAGGAAAAAACTCAGTAAATTTGAAGTTTTAAATTCATAGGGCCAGCAAAAAATGAATAAACACCGACAAAGACAAAAAATCCTTTGGTTTGGTTGACATATTTGTCCCTAATTATTTTACAGTGGTGTCGTCTGCAACAGACCTGTCCAACAGATAGCCAGCTACTTGTTTGCTATACATAAAACCCAGCGCACTCTTCAGGCGATTCCACCGCGCGACATGATTTCCGATGTGGACTCTTTCCTTGGAACTCAGCCTCCAGTTTTCTCTCTTCCTTGCTTTCCTTTCTTCCGGCGTGAATCTGCCTCCAAATGGCCTTCCTCGCTTTCTCGTCAGCATCGACGCCATTATTTGTTTATATTCTAAAAGTAGCTCGCCGTGTCACGTGACAGAGATCTAAGAAAGGGCGGTCTTTTTCAAAAGTGGGTTACGCACTCGCATATGATCATATGGAGGTCCATTTTGGGCAAAAAAAAAAAAAAAAAAAAAATTACAGGCTTAGTTCGTTTCAACGACTTCAAAGAAAAAAAATTTCAACAATTCAGTATATAAAGTAGGAGGTAGTACGGTTTATGAAATTGGCTTTAACAATAGATAGTTTTCGATTGACCTAAATTTAGCAAGAGTTACCTCCAGTTGGCAGCCATACTGGAGGTCCAAATGCTGAAAAAAAATTAGGAATCATTATTTTTCTGAAGTATATAAATTTTTGGAAGCCTCCTTTATTTAAAAAAAATATTTAATAAAGATTTTCCACCAAATATTTCTGCTATATTTTCTTAAACTTGGTAAGAAAAGAAATATATATTTCATAACTTTTGCTAAATTTAGGTCCATCGAAAACTATCTATAGAGTTCATTAAGTAGATGAATATGATAATCATTAAAGGATATGGTATGATGGAGGACCATTCTGAAAATATGATTTTACCAATTTTGTACATTTTTAATTTTAATGCAGAAAAGCCTCAAAATGACTCATTTCTGTGCTTAATTTCCTTTAGAAAATAGTGTCTGCCACTGTCACCTACTTCAATTTTTGGATATTTTATGTAAACTGCTGTGAAAAATCACATATCTAAAAATCTTTGTGGGCGACAGTAGCAGAGTATGTCTTCTGAAAGAAAATTCCACTGAAAATTGATGTCTTCTGCAACTTTTTAAGAAAATACCAGAAAATACACAAGTTAATGACGTCACAATCAGCATTTAGGATGTCATGACGTAAGTTTGATCGCTGATTTCTCATTATGATGTAAATTGTCACATCTGGCCCCTTTTTCCCAGTCGCTGTCACATATGAGAAAAACTATTTGTGTGTTCTTACCAGATGGAATTCCTATGGTTCAGAGAGAATGAATTTTGATTTCTTACATCACTTTCATATTTTTGAAAAATATTTATTTTTATTTGTATTGAGACTGTACCTTGTTCTTGTGCCAAATCATTCCTAAAATAAGTTTTAGCAAACTGACACATACATAATATAGTGCACCATTAAAAATGAGGGCAAACCTTTCACTTTATCATTGGCTTAGCTAGCCACCCTCCCCCACTTTCAATTTGCTTCCAACGCCTAGAATGTAAATTGAAAAGAAAACAAAACGAAACACCGAAACATAACATGTTTATATAATAATGCAAATGACTACATACTGTAGCCATGAAAATATGGCCCCTTTGCTTATTCATAATTGGTATTTCTGCTTCTTGCGGGTAAAACTTCGGTCTTTATGACAGCCCATCACATCCAAGACACTGGTGGTCAGTCAATAAAGTTAAACCAATTGTCAGAGAGCTCAATCATTGGACTCTGACAAGTAAACAGAATTCACACGGCACAGGTGCACTTGCTGCCTCTACATCTTAATAATGTATGACATGACATACCACATATTACAGTCATTGAGAAAGCCCTGGGCTTCATTCATGATGGGTAGTATATATAATGACGATTCTCAAAACCCGACTCATTCATCCTGGCTTTCATGGTAACGCGAAGGCAGTACGCCGTGTAGCGCTTACATCCCACACTCTCACAAATGTCCGGCAGAAATTTCCTAAATGAATCTCTTAACGCTGGCTTTGAATTGTACCAGATCTTGTTGTCTCTGGGATTTTTCACTGCGTCCTTCTCACATTGATTGAATAATTTAGTGGCGTCACCATCTGTTTTTGAAAGGAAGTACTTCAGCATTGTGACCGGACAGACCGCATTCCTTGTGGCATACATACGCGTGTCTGGCTGTAACCTCTCGTCAGTTGCCCCGCCCCCTGGGTTATTATTCAGCTGTGGTTCGTGACAGAGACGAGCGTATTCCCTCCCTGTCTCGTCTACCTTGAAGTCAAAGGAGTCGATGTTCAGCTGATGGTGGAACTCGATGCCTCGCCTGACAAACTGCACTGCCAGTATGTACCACAAGGACAGTCGGAGGTTAACGGGTGAGATGTACGCTGTCTCCAAGTATTTAGAGATTTTGTGTAGATCGGATTTAGGTATGATTTCCTTACGTACGGTGAAGTGAATGGTGTTCTCCGCGATGCGATGCCGCAGTAAGCCCATCAGACTCCTGTTGGCCAGTTTGAACTGTTTGTCGTACACAATATCAAAGTTCCGTCCGAGGTCAGTGAAGTGCCTGTTGATAGCGGCTCGGATGGCCTTCATTGTGTTTTTGTTATACTCCTCGTTCTTCTGATCGTGCTGCGGTTTGGCCTCGCAGTAAAATTTCTCCAGCTTTACCGCGAGTTCCTCTGCTGGAATGGACTCCATGTCAATGCTGACACCGTAGGTCTCCAAATGCCAATCTGAAAAAGAATTACAGTAAAACTCGTTTTATTTGTACAGACATGGAATTTGCGAATTCACAGATATGGCAAAGTTATCTTTGATTCCCAGCTACCGGTACATAAATTTAATGATTTTCTTATACAGATATTACAAATTACAGATATATTGAAGTACTGTCATAGGTCCCATTGACTTCATTATAACCGAGGAAAAGTCCAAGTTTTACTGTATGTGCACAACAAATGATACTTTGCTAGTTATTGTTATCAGACAGAGCACAGAATTGTGTATGTCTTCTTGATCAAATACTCCATATTCCCTAATTTAGTACATGTATGTATTTCAAGTTAAGTGCTATAGCTTATGTTTTTTTAAGTTTCACATAATTTCTGGTATTGAAGCAAAAAAAAAATTGTTCAAAGTAAATTGTCTAAATGATAGAAAAAAAAAATTTCAATAACAATAACATGAAAAACATGAAACATGAAAACATGACGAGTGGGGCGAGTTGTCTTGGGGGCGAGTGGTCCAGCATTCTATTTACCATTTAAGATCTTTGTGGCCCAGCGCGTTTGTTTCTTACCATTTAAAGGTACTTGGACACAGATTTGAAGTTAATATTTTCTCATTTTTTCTGTATAATATCACGAATTATATATTTTAATAGCATTTCACACAAAAATTAATTAAAAATCTTATTTCAGTTAAAAGTTATTAAAACTTTAAATTTTTTGGCGGATTTGATTGACACATCCTTGCACTTTCACAAATTTTAACTTTATTCTTAATCCTTGGGAAAAATGGCAATTTTGATGTGTTTTAATGAGAAATATTAAAACTTTTATCAAGAAAAATAATTTTATTCAGAGTAGAAATATTAGAAAGCAAAACACCTTCACAAGTATCGTCATTCCGAACTAAGAGATGCATACAGAGTTTAGCAAATTGATCACACTCGTGTTATGTACACAGTTTTTATTAACAGGGCTCGAGTGCTGTTATTGTTTATATTTAGAATTCACCGGGTGCGTTCAATCGTCACAGTCTGCTTACCACAACTGCACAGTCTGACAATATATTGTGTGTTTGTTTTGCTTTAGAACGTGTCTACTCTGAATTTTGTGGCTTATAGTATTAATATTTTTCATTTATACAGAACGAGATTGCCACTTTTCCTAAGGATTAAGAATAAAATAAAATTTGTTAGAGTGCAAGGATATGTCAATCAAACCCGCCAAAAAATTTGAAGTTTTAATAACTTTTAAATGAAATAAGATTTATAATTAATTTTTGTGTGAAATGCTATTAAAATATATAAGTCGTAATATTAAAGAGAAAATAATAACTTCAAATCTGTGTCCAAGTACCTTTAAGATCTTTGTGGCCCTGCGCGTTTGTTTCTTACCATTTAAGATCTTTGTGGCCCAGTGCATTTGTTTCTTTGTTCTTACCATTTAAGATCTTTGTGGCCCAGCGCATTTGTTTCTGTTTCTTACCATTTAAGATCTTTGTGGCCCAGCGCATTTGTTTCTTTGTTCTTACCATTTAAGATCTTTGTGGCCCAGCGCATCTGTTTCTTAACATTTAAGATCTTTGTGGCCCAGCGTGTTTGTTTCTTACCATTAAAAATCTTTGTGGCCCAGCGCGTTTGTTTCTTGGTTCTTATCATTTAAGATCTTTGTGGCCCAGCACGTTTGTTTCTTACCATTTTAGATCTTTGTGGCCCAGCGCATCTGTTTCTGGTTCTTACCATTTAAGATCTTTGTGGCCCAGCGCGTTTGTTACTTGGTTCTTACCATTTAAGATCTTTGTGGCCCAGCACGTCTGTTTCTTGATTCTTACCATTTAAGATCTTTGTGGCTCAGTGCGTTTGTTACTTGGTTCTTACCATTTAAGATCTTTGTGGCCCAGCGCGTCTGTTTCTTAACATTTAAGATCTTTGTGGCCCAGCGTGTTTGTTTCTTACCATTTAAGATCTTTGTGGCCCAGCGCGTCTGTTTCTTAACATTTAAGATCTTTGTGGCCCAGCGCGTCTGTTTCTTAACATTTAAGATCTTTGTGGCCCAGCGTGTTTGTTTCTTACCATTTAAGATCTTTGTGGCCCAGCGCGTCTGTTTCTGGTTCTTACCATTTAAGATCTTTGTGGCCCAGCGCGTCTGTTTCTTACCATTTAAGATCTTTGTGGCCCAGCGGGTCTGTTTCTGTTTCTTACCATTTAAGATCTTTGTGGCCCAGCTGGTCTGTTTCTGGTTCTTAACATTTAAGATCTTTGTGGCCCAGCGCGTCTGTTTCTTAACATTTAAGATCTTTGTGGCCCAGCGTGTTTGTTTCTTACCATTTAAGATCTTTGTGGCCCAGCGCGTCTGTTTCTGGTACTTACCAATTAAGATCTTTGTGGCCCAGCGCGTCTGTTTCTTAACATTTAAGATCTTTGTGGCCCAGTGTGTTTGTTTCTTACCATTTAAGATCTTTGTGGCCCAGCGCGTCTGTTTCTTAACATTTAAGATCTTTGTGGCCCAGCGCGTCTGTTTCTTACCATTTAAGATCTTTGTGGCCCAGCGCGTCTCTTTCTGGTTCTTACCATTTAAGATCTTTGTGGCCCAGCGCATCTGTTTCTTACCATTTAAGATCTTTGTGGCCCAGCGTGTCTGTTTCTTACCATTTAAGATCCTTGTGGCCCAGCGCGTCTGTTTCTTACCATTTAAGATCTTTGTGGCCCAGCGCATCTGTTTCTTACCATTTAAGATCTTTGTGGCCCAGCGCGTCTGTTTCTGGTTCTTACCATTTAAGATCTTTGTGGCCCAGCGCGTCTGTTTCTTAATATTTAAGATCTTTGTGGCCCAGCGTGTTTGTTTCTTACCATTTAAGATCTTTGTGGCCCAGCGCGTCTGTTTCTTTACATTTAAGATCTTTGTGGCCCAGCGTGTTTGTTTCTTACCATTTAAGATCTTTGTGGCCCAGCGCGTCTGTTTCTTACCGTTTAAGATCTTTGTGGCCCAGCGCGTCTGTTTCTTACCATTTAAGATCTTTGTGGCCCAGCGCGTCTGTTTCTTACCATTTAAGATCTTTGTGGCCCAGCGCATCTGTTTCTTACCATTTAAGATCTTTGTTGCCCAGCGGGTCTGTTTCTGGTTCTTACCATTTAAGATCTTTGTGGCCCAGCGCGTCTGTTTCTTAACATTTAAGATCTTTGTGGCCCAGCGTGTTTGATTCTTACCATTTAAGATCTTTGTGGCCCAGCGCGTCTGTTTCTGGTTCTTACCATTTAAGATCTTTGTGGCCCAGCGCGTCTGTTTCTTAACATTTAAGATCTTTGTGGCCCAGCGTGTTTGTTTCTTACCATTTAAGATCTTTGTGGCCCAGCACGTCTGTTTCTTAACATTTAAGATCTTTGTGGCCCAGCATGTTTGTTTCTTACCATTTAAGATCTTTGTGGCCCAGCGCGTCTGTTTCTTACCATTTAAGATCTTTGTGGCCCAGCGCGTCTGTTTCTGGTTCTTACCATTTAAGATCTTTGTGGCCCAGCGCGTCTGTTTCTTACCATTTAAGATCTTTGTGGCCCAGCGGGTCTGTTTCTGGTTCTTACCATTTAAGATCTTTGTGGCCCAGCACGTCTGTTTCTTAACATTTAAGATCTTTGTGGCCCAGCGCGTCTGTTACTTACCATTTAAGATCTTTGTGGCCCAGCCTGTCTGTTTCTGGTTCTTACCATTTAAGATCTTTGTGGCCCAGCGTGTCTGTTACTTACCATTTAAGATCTTCGTGGCCCAGCGCGTTTGTTTCTTGGTTTTTACCATTTAAGATCTTTGCGGCCCAGCACGTTTGTTTCTTACCATTTAAGATCTTTGTGGCCCAGCGCGTCTGTTTCTTGGTGCTTTTTGTTTGGTTGACCTCCTGGTACCCCCTGATTTCCCTCAGAGACAGAGATTTGAAGCGCCCTCTGGATAGAGCTTTTTCTGGGGATAAGACTTCAGGGACTTCACTCACATCTAAAAACATGAAACAAGAGATGTTTGTAAAACACTTATGTTCCCCTGCCCCAAATTGAATTTTTTCCAATTCCAAGGGACATAACTTTGTCAATCAAGTGCCACGCCACAGCATGATACGCCCGTCAAAAAATTACAATTACCAGGCGCGGATCCAGGATTTGGAGTTAGGGGGGGCGCCAAAATTAGGCAAGGGGTCTGGGGGCCGCCTTGAGGCCCCCAGTGGGTCCAGGGCAAAGCCCTGGTGGGGGCCCAGGGGGCGAAGCCCCCGGAAGCTCCTGGATTCTAGAGATTTTGAAGGGTGAAAATGAGGTCTACCAAGTAGACATATTTGATTTACGCTAACTTTGACAATTTTAGGGGGGGCGCGCGCCGGGTGCGCCCCCCCTTAAATCCGCCACTGATTACAATGAATCTTAAACAGTTAAAAGTGCAGGAAAATCATGTCAACCTTGATTTTAAGATTTCAATGATTTTTACACACCTTAAAAAATTTGTTTATCCATCTCCTGTGGTGTAGGCATTAATTATAACAAATATTGCATCATTCATGGATTTCTATGCCTTGCCAAATGCCTATCATACTAAACAATAACAAATTAGTCTTCACAACTTAATCTATACCTAATTAATTTTGGAAATAGAAGGCTGGCCATCAAATATAAACTGACCAACAGTTCTTCTGTCTAATTCCCGAAGGATACAGATAAGACCATGCTCTGAAGAAATGAAAGACAATTGCAGCTATAGCCTTCCTACATTGCACACACTAATTAATCTTTAACTGGATGCTTGTCTACTCATTACTCCCAAAAGATTATTGGATCTGCACTATCTAGTACAATACATTTTTAAAACATAAAAAACATCAATGATTTTTTTTTAGATTTAATGTCAGGCAGTTAATTGTTAATATGCAATTCATATGGACATGCAGATTCCACCCCTACCCCCATAAAATTAATTTTTAATTTCATAACATTATGTAATATCAAAATAGTTTAATATGCAATATCAAATTAGTTTTAATTACTTCTCAAATTCATTTTAAAACTTTGGCTAGCCAACAAGAGCTATTTTTAATCCAACAGGCTTACCCATTTGGCCCAATACTCAAGGGATATAGATAGCACTGATGCTCTTACAGCTACTCCTCACACTAAACTCATTAATTTCTCTCTCTAATTTGACGTGCAATTTTCTGTTATCAAAATTCTTCTTGACCAGTGCTTGATAATTAGACTCATGGGAGTGGTGGAATTTCTCTAACATACATTATATTTATTATAGATTGCTGTCAAGTATATGCTAAAAAAAATAAGCATTTTCTTGATTTAACATTTTTCTAATAAGGTTAGTGCAATAGTTTTACATTTTTTTGAATGTGTATGTGAATAGAAAAAAGGCATTTTTTTTTTAAATTCCACTTAAATTAAAGGTCACAGTGACCTTGAAATAGGTCGCGACACACCTTCTACCTTAGATGCATAAACTGGCCAAGTTTGATGAATCTAAGTCGAATAGTTTTCTAGTTATGGACCGGACAGGATTTTTCCTTATTTGGCTATAACTTTTTAATTATAGGTCAGAGCGACCTACTTTTTGTGCGCGAAACACCTTCTACCCAAGATGTATCAGCTAACAAAGTTTGATAACTCTAGGCCTAATAGTATTAAAGTTATGAGCCGGACACGAGAAAAGCTAACAGACGGACGGACACACATTTGGTTATATATTGGGTACATCAAGTCCAAGTCCTATTGGATACTGCTTATTGGATACAAAAAAAGTGTACACACAAGAGAGCATTATTTGGGTAGTTACTGTTCAAATCTTATTGGATATTAATCATCGTGTCCGTATTTTATTGGGTTTTTTCTTATTGTTTTTTATTCATTTCAAATTTATTATATATTTAATATTTGCTGGTAAATTCAGACAAGACTAAAAACCTTTTGTTTTGAACCCATATTTTTGTCAATTTCTGCGATATAGCTCTTTTATTGTAACACCTAACTAATTTGTTCTTAGCAATAAGGATATACACCTGTATATTTCAAAATATCTAATATTAAAATATATGAATACCTAAGTGCAAAAAAATTGAATTGTGAAAACACAACTCAACACATCTCAGACTCTGTTCAACCTTTCTTGTATAACAAAATTAAGTATTTGAGGAGAAACCTTTTTGAGTCATGACTAATTAATAATAAGCAAATGCCCATTACATGTTGGACAGAATGAAGGTATCCAACAGGCATTGGACAGGTGTCCAATACCTGTTGGGTTGTATTTTAACGAAGGGATTAAACTACCCAAGAACAATTGAACATGTGCTCATTGTCCAATTCTATTTGGGTTTCTTGAATCTCCTCATCAAAATACAACCCAACAGGTAATGGACACCTGTCCAACTCCTCTTGGATATCTACATCCCACCCAACAGGTAATGGACACTTGTCCAATTCTTCTTGGGTTTCTTGAATTGTTTCATCAGAATACCACCCAACAGGTAATGGACATCTGTCCAACTCCTCTTGGATATCTACATCCCACCCAACAGGTAATGGACACTTGTCTAATTCTTGGGTTTCTTGAATTGCATCATCAAAATCCAACCCAACAGGTAATGGACACCTGTCCAACTCCTCTTGGATATCAACATCCCACCCAACAGGTAATGGACACTTGTTCAATTCTTCTTGGGTTTCTTGAATTGTTTCATCAGAATACCATCCAACAGGTAATGGATATCTGTCCAACTCCTCTTGGATATCTACATCCAACCCAACAGGCAATGGACACTTTTCTAATTCTTGGGTTTCTTGAATCTCCTCATAAAATACAACCCAACAGGCAATGGACAACTGTCCAACTCCTCTTGGATATCTTCATCCCACCCAACAGGTAATGGACACTTGTCCAATTCTTCTTGGGTTTCTTGAATTGTTTCATCAGAATACCACCCAACAGGTAATGGACATCTGTCCAACTCCTCTTGGATATCTACATCCCACCCAACAAGCAATGGACACTTGTCTAATTCTTGGGTTTCTTGAATTGCATCATCAAAACCCAACCCAACAGGTAATGGACACCTATCCAACTCCTCTTGGATATCTACATCCCACCCAACAGGTAATGGACACTTGTCCAATTCTTCTTGGGTTTCTTGAATTGTTTCATCAGAATACCACCCAACAGGTAATGGACATCCGTCCAACTCTTCTTGGATATCTACATCCCACCCAACAGGTAATGGACACTTGTCTAATTCTTCTTGGGTTTCTTGAATTGTTTCATCAGAATACCACCCAAGAGGTAATGGACACCTGTTCAACTCCTCTTGGATATCTACATCTCACCCAACAGGTAATGGACACTAGTCCAATTCTTCTTGGGTTTCTTGAATTGTTTCATCAGAATACCATCCAAGGTAATGGACATCCGTCCAACTCCTCTTGGATATCTTCATCCCACCCAACAGGCAATGGACACTTGTCTAATTCTTGGGTTTCTTGAGAATCCCCTCATCAGAATACTACCCAACATGTAATGGACATCTGTCCAATTCCTCTTGGATATCTTCATCCCTTCTATAGTATATAAACTAAAAGGTATTGGACATTCTTCTTGGGTTACTCAATTTTTTTTTCATAAGAAAGAAAACCCAATAGGTATTGGACATTGGTTCAACTCTTCTTGGATATTACATCCCAACATTAGAATAAAACCCAACAGGTGATGTTTACCTGTCCAATTCTTCTTGGGTTACTTATACCCTTCATTAAAATTGTCAAATTTGTTTTGGATATTTATACTCTTGCATTAGATTGCAAACCCAATAAGTATGACATTTACCTTCCCTAGTTGAATTCAAAGAACTATATGCGGTATATTGCATATGTTTGCCCCCACAAAAGTCAAATTTTGAAAACTTCCTGAAATGTGCTGAATTCAATAAATTGTACGAGAAATATAAGTTAACAGAAAATATTATAGTTCCAGAGCAGTGTATTCACAATTTCTGTTTTTATGACGTCACAAACTAGTCCGATTTTATATCCTTTTTCAGAAAGAGGACAAAATGGACAAAATTTCAACAATTTAAGCTTTAAAATTTATAGAGCGCATGTGTGTTCAGGAACAATATCGACATATTTCATTGATATTATCATTCTACACATTATATCAAAATATTTATCCTGAACACACATGCGCTCGGTGACTTTTATTTAAAATATCGACGAAATATGTACATTTTTCTGCAAAATTCATAAAAAACTGAAATTACGTCATATTTGTGACGTCATTACGTACATATGACGTCATTACTTATGAAATTATTCAGTGCTTTGAAGTCAGCATATACTCCCCTGTTTAAGGACTTAATTAAATATTACTCCATCAAAGTTTGATTTTGGGGGGCAAATGTTGGTTAATACCGCATATAGTTCTTTATCTGCATAAGCATACATAAGTCCAAAACATATTTAATACTTTAATTCTAACATTCCACATCTCTTTCAGTGTACACTTTACAAATGATAGGAAATATATAAGCATTTTGTGCCTAAACTATTTGGCTTTTAAAAAATTTTATAACCATGTTTGCAAAATTTAAATTTAAATATTGGAACTTGGAGCAAGTCATTACAGGTAGAGCAAGATGCTGAAAACCATATTGATAAATAGATCACACCCTTGATAAAATATTTGCCTTCAGTTGCTAAGATTATGTTGTACTATATGGAAAATTTCTATAATCCTGTTTATTACAGATACATGTACAATGCATATTTTCCCTGTAATAATAAAAATACTTCTGAGATGTTAAAGAATGGATTAAATAGTCACCGATGTTAAAAGATATTACATGATCTCATTAATCTGGTTTGGAAATCACAAACTTAGTTTTGAATTCGCACCAGAAAACTCAGTTACAAGTACAATGAATGAATTCGTTGTATCAAAACTTTACAATAATTGATGCACTA